GACACCGCGGAAATACGTTTTGGTGACGTCACAGTGGTCAGTGGTCATCAACATTAGGCTGCCAAGTGCTTCCATGTGTTTGTGGACTAGTTCGATGAAAACATCGGCCTTTTGCAAGGTTTTAAGTCGGAAAATATCCATGATACTTCTCCTTGTTTATTATGGTTGATCCTTTGAATGGGTTTTTAATACTAAAACCACGTCTTAACAAATAGCGGTACAGGGGAGTCATTTTGTTTGGAGTTTTGTGCTGTTTGCTGACTTTAGCTGGCCGTCGTTACGAAGTGCGATCGTGGTTCGTCAGTCGCCCTCGCCTTCAGAATTGTCAAAAACAGCGATAGTTATCCAGACAAAGCAAGAGATTAGTTCTGTAAGATAATTTTCCAGCGAGTCTGAAGACTTGTTGGATTTTTAAGTGTTATTAGCATGAAGCGATACACGTAATTATTGAGTTGTGAAAATATTCACACTCACTTTGCGCCGACGTGCGGTGCCTTTTCATTTTGGAAATCATTCGCTTGGGTTCTGTCCTCGTGTACCGGTTCACAAGAGCCGTTACAAAAGACCGAACAATACACAACAGCTAACCAATGACTCCTAAACAAAGAAAGAACAATGGTAATTCCCTTGTGAACCGGTACACCAATAGTTGTATTTTGGGCGGTGCCCGATCACTTTTTTTAATCAGAAATTTTGCCCAAATTTTGACTGAGATTTTTTCTGTTTGAAAAAAAAATTTGAAAAAAAATTTGAAAAAAAATTTGAAAAAAAATTTGAAAAAAAAAAATTTGAAAAAAAAAAATTTGAAAAAAAATTTGATTTTCGGATTTTCGGATTTTCGGATTTTCGGATTCTCCGATTTTCGGATTTTTTTTTCTCAGAAATTTTGCCCAAATTTTGACTGATTTTTTCTGTTTAAAAGAAAAAAAATTGAAAAATGATTTAAAGAGATAGAAAAATTAGTTAAATATGGCACAATTGAATGCAAAAACAGTGATTCAGTTAAGAGCATATGCAAAACACAACGGAATTATTGGTTATTCACGTATGAGAAAAGCAGGTCTCATTAGGAACATCAATGAACTCGAGAACAGAGATCAGAATCATTGGACACTTGATAGGGAAAAAAGAGATATTTAGATAAGACAGAATTAAAGCCACTAACAGTGCTTGAGTTGAAAGCATACGCAAAACACCGTGGGGTTATTGGTTATTCACGTATGAGAAAAGCAGAGCTCATTAGGGGTATTAATAGAGCCAACAAAAGAGACCAGCACCATTGGGAACTTGTTGAGAGCATGTCTTCATTAAATGATTTTGTAAAAATGTATACTACTGATGGGGTGGAAGGCTATGGACCGTTAGCTTTTCTTCAGGCTGTAAAACCGACCCAAAGTTTCTATTAACGCAAAAAAATATTAAGATGACGCTCATTTTGAGGTGTGATATGATAAAAACAAACATTAAGACGGGTGAGGCTTTGATACAGTTTGCATATTTTAGATCTTTCGAAGAGATTGTCTTTCAAGAGACTGATCGAGAAGAGCTTTATCAGAGAAGTGTTGATAAAATGATGGAGGGTTTGACAAAGTATACAAGAGAGGGAAGTGGTTGGACTGTAGATATGATTGCGGGGTTGGATTTGCACACGGCAAAATACACTCCTTTTAGAGGTTCAAACTATATCAAGCTACCAAAATTAATTGAAAATAAAAATGCCATAATCAATATGAAGAACAAAGACAATGAATGTTTTAAATGGTGTATCGCAAGAGCGTTAAATCCTGTAAAAAACAATGCTGTTCGAGTAACAAAGATTTTGAGAGAACAGGCAAAGAAATTGAAATGGGATGGGATTGAGTTTCCGATGGAGGTGAAAGATATTTACCGCTTTGAAAATTTGAATCCAGGTATTTCTGTAAACGTTTTCAATTATGATGAAGAAAAATTTGGACCCTTGAGAGTGAGCAATGTTGAGAAATCCAATACTCATATTGATCTTCTTTTGACCGCTGAAGGTGATAAAAAACATTACTGTCTCATCAAATCATTGAGTCGACTCGTATCGAGTCAATTGTCGAAACATGAACATAAAAAGTTTATCTGCAGGAGATGTCTAAATTTTTTCGGTTCTCAGAAAGTTCTCGACATACACACCGAACTTTGTCGAGAACATGAGGCTGTGAGAGAAAAGATGCCTGATAAGGGAGCTTCTCTCTTTTTCAAAAACTACCACAGAAAGATAGATGTGCCGTTTGTCATCTATGCCGACTTTGAATCAATCATCAAACCTTTGCACACCGTTCAACCGAATCCTGCAGAGTGTTACACCGATAAAAAGCAGAAACATATCCCGGTGAGTTTTTGTTACTACATCAAATGTTCATTTGATGATCGATATTCGAAAAAGGTTGAGTACACAGCAAAGTCTGAGGATGAGGATGTTGCACAGATATTTGTCAACATGCTTGAAGAGGAGGTTAAGGCCATTTACAAAAATCATCCCAAAATTCT